CAACCACATTCTCCCAAAAATCCATCCTTTCCAACTCATCCACCCATCATCCATCCAAAAACCCCGGGGGGGGGGGCCAAACCACTTTCCCATCCTTCCATCCAACTATCCATCCATCCATCATCCATCCAACCACATTAAACCAAACATCCATCCACCAACTCACCATCCATCACCCAAACCAACCAATCCATCATCCATCCAACCAAAAACCAAAACCATCATCCATCCATCATCCATCCCTCATCCATCCACCCCATCCACCCAAACCCAAACATCCATCCTTTCCAACTTTCCAAACCATCCACCCATCCAACTCTTTACCACCCAATCCATCACCCAAACCAAAAACCCATAAATCCCCTCACCCAAACCTTCCATCATCCATCCATTCTCCATCATCCATCCTTTCCAACTCACCCCAACCATCCACATCCACCCAAACCCCTCATTCACCCCATCTTCCATCCATCCAACTCATCCATCCATCATCCATCCATCACCCCCTTTCCAACCATCTTTTTCTTTCCCCATCCATCCAACTCACCCACCCAAACCATCATCCATCCAACCATCATTCTTTCCCATCACCCACCCAAATCCAACTCATCCCATCCATCATCCACCCAAACACCCCAACCAACCATCATTCACCCCAACCCAAACCCAAACTAAACCTTTCCATCCATCATCCATAAAAAACCACACTCTCCATCATCCCCCCAAATCCATCTTTCATCCCACCCCTTCACCCATCATCCTTCCACCCAAAAATCATCCTTTCCACCCCATCATCCACCCAAACCCCATCACCCAAACCATCACCCAAAACCATCCATCCATTCATCCATCACCCATCCATCCAACCACCCAATCCACCCCATCATCCATCCAACCATCTTTCCCATCCACCCATCCCCCCACCCAAACTCACCCAAAAATCCATCATCCACCCATCACCCAAACCAAAACCATAAATTCATCCATCCATCCAACTCACCCATCCATCCATCATCCACCCAAACCATTCTAAACCATAAACCACCCATCCTTCTTTCCAAATCATCCATAAAAACCCATCACCCCATCCATCATCCCAACCACCCCATCATCCACCATTCATCCATCACCCCATCCATCCAATTTTCCCCATCCATCCACCCAAACATCCACCCAAACCCAAAACCATCTTTCATCCATCACCCCATCCAACTCACCCCACCCAAAATCATCCACCCCAAACATCCCCCCAAACCCAAATCATTCACCCATCCATCCAACTCATCCATCCATCCATCATCCCCCCCAAAACCACCCATTCATCCATCACCACCCCATCCAACCCCATCCATCCATCATCCCCCCCATCATCCATCCAACCATCTTTCCCTTTCCCCCATCCTTTCTCCTTTCCAAAACCCATCTTTTTCATCCACCCTCCACCCACCCAAAACTCATCCATCCACCCATCCTCATCCCCCCAACCATCTTTCTTTCCACCATCCAACCCCACCCACCCAAACCATAAACCATCCAACCACCCCTCATCCTCCAACCTTTAATCCAACCTTTCTCCATCCATCACCCCATCCACCCCATCACCCCTTTCCTTCATCATCAAAACTGAGTCCTGAGCTTTAAAGCAAACCTCCAATGAATCGCTAACTCCAGTTGTAGCTGCAGTTTTAGATTCTTTTTTTTTTGCCACTGTTTTCCTATTTTTTCCTATCCTCCATGTTAAACCAGCTGTGATCCTAACCTAAAATATCAAAGTCATAGTTAAAAAGCGGTTTTGTTTTTAAAAACCAGTGAAATTGACCCTTTAAGGGAGATTTACTGGTTTTTTTACGTCTAAAAAGGACGGGTTATTATTGGGGGAAACTGGGAACAAAAGGAAACCCAGTTTACCCAGTTCAGTTCCATGACCGTCCATCCAGTCAGCCCAGATACCCGGACTGGTCTATGAGGGAACAGAACCAGTAAGAGTTGGCCCAGTGGATGGGTGACGGTTGTTTCCTCTGTCTGGTGCACATTTTATCCTCTCATTTCACCGACTGACACACAAATACACATTTTAACCCCTCTGGGCTGAGCTTGACATATTTGCATTGTGTGTGTGTGAGAGTGTGTGTTCCTGTCACAAGCCATCTCACCGGGACTCGTGTTTAATTATCTACCCAGCATGCCTCGCTGCTGAAAACAGCGCTTCCTCTAATGGGATGTGAAAAGGGACACACACAGATTAACACACAGCGATCTGAGTGAGCGTGCATCCAGACACATGTTAACACACACTCTCACACTCGCTGTGGTTAATTAGTGCAATTAGCCTCTCCACTGTCCAGAGCTGTGTGTTTTCAGGAGTCGTTAACTCGTGATGGAGAGTCGCTGTTTACTGCAACACACAACAAGATCCCCCGTAATGAATAACACGGCTAACACAATCAGAACAAACTAGCTGTTAAATTACCGTCATGTTGATGTTAATATCATCTTCATTAGAAACATTCTCCAATTAGCAACCGTAAACACGGACAATAATTAAGCAAATATAAACAAGATGTCAACAAACAAAAACTCATGGAAACAAGCAAAATGGTTTATTTAATTAAGCAACAAAACAACTTTGTATTTTAGTAGAAAACCCAAATAAGTCTGGTTTACCTCAAGATTAACGGTACTGGAGTAGAAGTGGAAAAAAAAGACAGAAAGTCTGCATCTAAATTCATATAAAGTTGCTAAAACTAAGGAATTGTTTAAACTCAGGGTTCAGTCTTTTTTAAACTCAGGATTCGGTCTGTTTAAACTTGGAGTTCAGTCTGTTTAAACTTAGGGTTTAGTTAAACTCAGGGTTCTGTCTTTTTTAAGCTCAGAATTCAGTCTTTTTAAACTCGGAGTTCAGTCTGTTTAAACTTTTGGTTTAGTTAAACTCAGGGTTCTGTCTTTTTTAAACTCAGGATTTAGTCTGTTTAAACTCAGGGTTCAGTCTGTTTAAACTCAGCCTTTAGTCAAACTCAGGGTTTAATTAAACTCAGGATTCAGCCTTTTTAAACTCCGGATTCAGTCCGTTTAAACTCAGGATTTAGTTAAACCCAAAATTCAGTCCGTTTAAACTCAGGGTTTAGTTAAACTCAAAATTCAGTCCGTTTAAACTCAGGTTTTATTTAAACTCAGGATTCAGTCAGTTTAAACTCAGGATTTAGTCTGTTTAAACTCAGGCTTTAGTCAAACTCAGGGTTTAATTAAACTCAGGATTCAGCCTTTTTAAACTCAGGGTTCAGTCTGTTTAAACTCAGGCTTTAGTCAAACTCAGGGTTTAATTAAACTCAGGATTCAGTCCGTTTAAACTCAGGATTTAGTTAAACTCAAAATTCAGTCCGTTTAAACTCAGGGTTTAGTTAAACTCAAAATTCAGTCCGTTTAAACTCAGGATGTAGTTAAACTCAAAATTCAGTCCGTTTAAACTCAGGGTTTAGTTAAACTCAAAATTAAGTCAGTTTAAACTCAGGGTTTAGTTAAACTCAAAATTCAGTCCGTTTAAACTCAGGATTTAGTTAAACTCAAAATTAAGTCAGTTTAAACTCAGGGTTTAGTTAAACTCAAAATTCAGTCCGTTTAAACCCAGGGTTTAGTTAGACTTAGGTTTTATTTAAACTCAGGATTCAGTCCGTCTAAACTCAGGGTGTAGTTAAACTCAGGCTTTAATTAAACCCAGGGTTTAGTTAGACTCAGGTTTTATTTAAACTCAGGATTCAGTCTGTCTAAACTCAGGGTGTAGTTAAACTCAGGCTTTAGTTAAACCCAGGGTTTAGGCCTCTTGTGTCTGTACCATCGCTCCCACCCATCTCTCACCCTGACCCAGTTAAACCAGTGTCCCTAATAGGAAGTGTATTTTCCATTTTAGACTCGGTACCATCTCTGTGTCGGCGTTTAGGCCCCAGAATGAGGCTGATAGTGAACGCTTTAGTGAACGGCTGACACCATCAGACCGTCTGCCGGCTCTTAGCAACTCCAGCGGGGGGGAAGGCATGCGTTTCCCAGTCCGCCGGCCGGCCTCACATTTCCTCCCAGAGCCCCGCTGAGCGCCCCTCTCTCTGGGACTCCTCCAGGCTTTGTCCGCGGGCTTTGGGCCGTGGTCCCAGGCCCGGCCTCCCCGCTCTCTGGGTCGGACCAGGAAGGCAGAACCTCCAGGACATTCCGTGATGCTAGGCGCCACCTTGGACCCCCCCCCCCAGCACAGACTGGTATCCAGGAAGAGAGTTAATGAGATTCAGAGGTTCCCACGCTGCTCCCAGACTCTCAGGTCCGCTCCTTCCTCGGCCTGTTGGAGGGGAAACCGGACCGGGTCACGAACAGAACCGGTTCTGCCAGAAGCTGAAGTTTATTAGAAGGAAACAACAGATTTCCTCCCCCCCCCTGGAAGAGGGGGAACAGCTCAATACGGGTCCCTCCCCCGCCGCCCCTCCCTGGCCCAGACTAATCCCTGCTGGCTGAGTGAGCCGCTGTTTACACGCAGGGATTAGACGGGAGATTAGAGGCGGATTAGACGGATCAGCAGTTGATGATACTGGATTGGAGAACAATGCTTCCTTCTGCCTCTGTGTCTTATTTTAGCCTCGGAGGACGAATCTACCTGTGGATTGAACACTTCCTGTGGGAATATATCCACTTTAATCCCTGCCGTCCATTGTTAATGTTTGGCTTGTTAATAAAGGTTTATTTGGGTTAAATCAGGTCTGATGTAGCATTTATCATTCTGGGATTTTTATTCATTAAACTGTAGTAATTTGAGTTTCTGGGATTAGTGGGATTAATAATCTGTCTGTTTCCAGCGGTGGTTCTGATCCAGTTGAATTTTACCTTAGAGTCCGTTTATTTGAATAAAAATGAACGGACAAAAATCTAACGGATATAAAAGTGAAAACGTTCCAGATTTGTTTAATTTAAGGTTTAAAGTTTCCGTTCTGTGGCGTGACTAATCCCTGGGTTGTGTCTGTCAGGGAGGAGCGGGAGCGCTGGATCCGGGCGAAGTACGAGCAGCGCCTGTTCCTGGCCGCGCTGCCCTCCGCCGACGTGCCTCTGGGCCAGCAGCTGCTCAGAGCCACGGCCGAGGAGGACCTCCGCGCCGTCGTCCTTCTGCTCGCCCACGGCTCCCGCCAGCAGGTCAACGAGACGTACGGCGACGGCTGCACCGCGCTGCACCACGCCAGCCACAAGGGCAACGTGGTGATCCTCCAGCTGCTGATCTGGGTACGCCTCCTGCAGGGCGACGCGGGTCGGGAAACGTCAGCAGGATCTAACCCGTGTCTTTGTCTCTCCGCAGTACGGCGTGGACCTGATGGCCAGGGACGCCCACGGGCTAAGCGCCATGGCGTATGCCCGGCAGTCCAACCACCAGGAGTGCGTGGACGTCCTGGCGCAGTACGGCTGCACCGACGAGCGCTACCCTCTCATGGCCACGCCCAACCTGTCGCGGCGCAACACCAACCGCAACAACAGCTGCAGCAGCCTGGGCAGCGCCGCGCTCATCTGACCGCCGCACGCCGGCCCCTTCATGTCGCGACGCTAAGCCACGCCCACCACCCGCTTCTAATGGGAGAGCCTCAGGGCAGGACGGACAAACCCCAAAGCATGATGGGAGATGTGGTCCCCAGTCTTTGAATTAACCAGGCCAGTTCAACCAGTCTGAACTCATATCAGCTCCCAGTGAAACCAGTTGAAGGAACTCTGGCTCCCAGTAGAACTGACTGTTTTTATTTAAAGCATTGTTGTGTAAATAGAGCTGTGTGAGCGTGGCTGGACCAGAGGTTGGACGCGTCGTCATGGACGACGATGATGATGATGCCGAGGATGATGATGACGATGATGATGGTGGCTGGGTGTATAAAGTCCTAAATGTACAGACGTGTTTTCAGGCTCAGGGAACGGAGACTCTCCATGTCGGCCTCCATCTTGTTTCTCCCGGCCGCTCCTTCAGTATTTATCCACCCAGATCTTCGCCTCTTCTGTCCAATAAAGGAGCTAAAGGGAAGCCATCGTCTTCAGCCCAGCTGATGCCGTCCGCTCGCCGCCGCTCGGCTTCGCCGCAACCTCCAAGAAGGGCTGTTTCTTCTTCTCTGCTCTAAAAACCTTCTTCTGTAAATAATGCTCCTCTGTTTCTTCGGATCGTGTTTGTGAATGAAAACAGGAAGTGTGTGAAGCATCGGGCCGCAGACAGGAAGTGGTCTGTTGTGTAGAGCGGTTTGGGTTTGGGTCACTATGATGTGTTTCTGAACGCCGTCATGGTTCCAGGACGCTGCTCATTGGAATGTCGGTCCAAGCTGCAGCTAAACATGGCGGCTGATGGTTCTGGTCCAGTTCTAATCGATAAACCGGGACTAAAGTGGCTCCAGAACATCCCAGCTGCGACGGGCCGACCCATAGCGAGATGTAGGAGTCTGGACCAGTGGTTCCGAACGCCGTCATGGTTCCAGGACGGTGAGTCCAGGTGCTCCTGGTGGTTTTCAGGGGTAATTAAATCCGGCGTCGTCCTTCCCAGGACGCCTTGCTGGTTTCTGGATGTCGGACGTGTGGGAATGTTTGGACCGAAGGTGAGGACAGTCTCAGGAAGGAGGCGGAGACTCCCGGACACGGCGGGCCGGCTTTTCGCTTTCCGAGCCGCTCTCAGCCAGATTATCGGAGCAATATTCGCGGCTCGCTGTGTCGCCGTTATTCTCATAAAAACGTCTGTCGAAGTAGAAACTCTAAAAACCCGACTTTCCTTTAAGCTAGACGTCCATCTTGTCTTCATGCCTTTTTTTAATTTGCACGCCTGCCTTTATGCTCCCAGATTGTTTCTTTCGGTGCCACTACCTCCTTTCCTCACTCGTCCATGTGCCCTTTAGCTAGCTTAATGGGGGGGGGGGGGGGGGTTAATCCCTGACAGAAATGCACTAAAGTAGTTTAGTTGGTCCTCCGTTACTACGAGCGTTTTTCTGATATAACTTTATTTATCTGATGTTTATTTAACTTTATAATCATCACATCAGGTAGTTGAACTAAAACCTGAAAGAATTTGCTTTAAAGGGAGATTTTTTTCTAAAATGCTAAAAACAGCGACTAAAAAGCTGTAGAAATGTTTGTTTTATAAAACCAGCAGCAAGAAAGTTCATAAATTTCTAATCAGACGTAAAATCTGGATCCGGTTTAAACCAGTTTTCTCTGATTTATGTCACCAAAAAGAGAATTAATCGATATTTCCGCTTTTAGTTTACGAACTCTGAGGCTCATTCTGGTGAGAAATTAAAATGACCTCATTTTTAAAAATGTTTGAAATGTTGTTACAAAACAAAACTGTTCAGCAAAAAAAAAAAAACGTTAAAGTTTACAGATAAAAAGAAAAGACAGCCATTGTCTGTTTTACTTCTTTAAAAGGGAAAATGCAGCTAACACTAATAGCTACCGTTTCAGTTAGCATGACGCGGCTAACTGACAAACTGCTGAGTCATTGCCCCGTCAATAAAATTCACCTTTTAATCCATTAATGGACTAATTTACCGCATGAATAAAAGGTTATCATTTGGAGATCAAAGAACCATGTGATGAGCTAGCTGCTGGTTAGCTTGTTAGCTTAGCTTTATCACACTAGCTAGTTCACTCGTTAGCCATCAAATCCTCCTCCTGCTCCCTAACTCGTATGTAAAGTTTATGAACATAAAAAAAAAACATCTAACAAACATAAAGAAGCAGAAAAACTTAATCGGCATCTAAATTAAATACTTTTTTAGGACCGCTAAGTTAGAACCGTTGTTAGCTTGCAGTGGGGACAAAATGGCTTCAATAACCGAACAGTCTAGGGATGAAAGAACGATTAAAAGTCCATTAAGGAGCCATTTTACTGCTGACTAAATTTAAATAGTTTTAAATAAAAATGGTTTGACTTGAATCGGACAGAAAGGAGCAGTTAGCGCAGGGCTAACTGGACAAAGCTAACATCAGAGATCCACTCATTTTTATACAAACTGCTGAGTCAGCTAGCCGCCGTTTTAGTTAGCCTGACGCTGCTAACGGACAAACTGCTGAGTCATTCCCCGTGAATAAAACGCTTTTTTTTTACTCCATTGATGGACTAATTTACAGCGTGAATAAAAAGTTATAATTTGGAGATCAAAAAAAACATTTAATGAGCTAGCTGCTGGTTAGCTTAGCTTTAGGCTATCACACAGACGCTGGCAGCTAGTTCAGTCGTTAGCCATCAGATCCTTCTGCTGCTCCCTAACTCATATGTACAGTTGTATAAATATGAAGAATAACATCTAAAAAACATAAAGCAGCAGAAAAACTTCATCGGCATCTAAATGAAATTATTTTTAGGACCGCTAATTTATAACTTCGTTAGCTAGCAGTGGTGACAGTCTGGGGCTGAGAGAACCGCTCATTTTATTCCTTCTCCAAACTGCTGAGTCATTCCAGTAGATTTCCGTTTACAGACGTCAAAAGGTCAATTTTATAACATTTAGCAAAGGTTACAATTTCTAATAAACCTCGGCGTTGTCCAACTCTACTGCTAACTGCGTCATTTTCCCAGCTAGCTCAGCTAATTAGCCTTATCGATTCTCCAGAGTATATAAAAATAAAAAGACTGTTAAAGTTATTCAGTTTAATACATTTGAGAAAAAACAAAAAGGCCTCGAAACATGAAGTCATTTCTGTTGGTTTCACTTTGTTTTATTAAAGACGGATATTTATTAGGAAGAAGTAAAAATATTTGAGCTAATATGAAAAAATCTCCAGAAAATTAGACTCTAAACTGTAAAATAAACACTTTTTTTTCAGCTCCCAGTTTGATGGACATTTAGATAAATGTTTTTTTTTTCTGTTAATAGATTTAAAAATGTGAACCATCCAGGATGTTCGTCTCGTTTCTAAATCCTCCCAGAAAAACAACCTTTTTGTACATTTTCTCCCTGAATCCACTTTTTATTCACCTTTTCCTATTTTATCATCCAGATTATTGTTCTTGTTGTTATTCTAATTAATATTATTAAATTTTGTTTGTTGTACAGTAACATGCTGAAAATTCTACCTAATGCAGAATCTTCTACTGTAATTTGTCTCTTTTCAATAAAGACAAGAAAAATGCTTCTTAATATAAACTTGACTTCTGGCTTTTTATTTGTTTTCCTTTCCTAGATAAACGTAACTAGATGTTATAATAATCTGAATAAATAATAAACTCCTGATGAACCTTGATTTCTGATCCAAACAGGGTTTTTAAATGTTTCTGAAAAAAATGATGGCTTAAAGATATATATTAATAATTGAATTTGGATTATAGAAAAAGGTAGAAATTTTTCAAGAAAAAGAAAATCCAAAAAAATATGGAAAATGGAAATTTATGTTCCTTTAATTTAAAAACATTTAATGGATCTAATGTGATGATTTAAATAAACCGGATTCTAATAATTTTTTCCTACAGTTCTCATTATTCTCTATAATCTGAATATTTAATTTAAATTAAACATTAAAAGCAAACAAATAAACTAACTTCATAGATACAGAAATAATCTAATTTAGAGTTTAGTGAAACGTTTTTAGAAAATCACAGTTTGAACTTATCAAATAATTCCCTGGAAATTTAAATAAATCCAGAAGAAAAATTTAATCTAGATTAGTATTTTTTTTCCGTAAAATAAGTGTATTTGTTCTTGGATTGAGGAGATAAAAGAAACATTTTGCCAATGAAACAAGACAATTTACATTTAAAATAAGAAAACACAATCATATTGTCTTATTTCAAGTGCATTTTATCTAATTATCTTATTTTACTAAAGTAAAAATACTAATTCCACTGCCAAACTACATCATTTACCTGCTTAAATTAAAGGTAAATACTTATTTCTAGATTTTTTTGCAGTGTAAAGAATTTGATGTTATTTCAAATCTTTATTCTGAAACATTTTAGAGTAAATAAGACAAACGGCAATGAGGAAGATTACAGCTGAGGAAGAGGAGGATGATGATGGAAGGCATAGACACCCCCCCCCCCCCCCCCCCCCCTCTTTCAGAGATCATTAAGATTTAATGGCTTTATCCTCCAACAAACACATAAAATTAAGTATTTTAGTTAATTTAAACATCATATAAGAAAAATGTCTTAAATCTATTTACCATTAATTTAAGCAGGTAAGTAATAGTTTGCCACCGGAATGAAGATTTTTAATATTAAAGTCAGATAATTAGATAAAATGCACTTGAAATCAGACAATCTAATTGTGTTTTCTTGTTTTAAATGTAAATTGTTTCGTTTCTTTGGCAAAATGTCTCTTTAATCTCCTCAATCCAAGAACAAATGACTTATTTGTTTTTTAAATGACCTTATCTAGATTTAGATTAGATTTAGTGTAGTTCTATATTTTCCTCAGCTGAAGAAAATATAATATATAAATTACACTGGGAAAAAAAAAGAAATCAGGATCTTCTGTTAATTTCCGTTAATTTTATTAAACGTTGAAGGTCCTGATTTTATTGATCCACATTTTGTTTCTCCTAATTGTCAAATTATAACTTTTTCTTTTTGGATTTTATTTCTAAACTCCTGAATGATTTTAAAACTGAATCCATAAAAATAAAACTCTCTTTTTTTTCTAAACAGGGTTAATAAACTGCTTTTAAAGTTTAAATTCGCCTTAAGTATGAATCTAAACGTTTTTGGGTTTTTTTGGCACAGAGAGGACCTGGCAGCGCTCCCTGGCGCGCGCGCCATTACGCACAGGTGCTTCAGTTGCTGCGAAGAAACGGGAAATAGTGCGGATTTTAATTTAGAAGAAAATAATTTTTAATGAAGATAAAACTGAGCGCTGACCTGGATGACGTCACTGGAGCCAGGTGCGTTTCTGACCTTAATTTTAGCTTTGAAGTAGATTAATTGGATGAAACAGGTGTGGAGCCGCGCGACCTGCGTCTGATTTAACTTCTTTTTGTTTCCATTTCTGATATTTTATTTAAATTTTCATTTTTTTCATAGTTTTTACAGATTTGCGGCCTTTTAAAATGAGGTGAGTGAAGATAGATTTAGTGTGAAATGAGTCAGACTGGAGCCTCGCCTCTTTCTGTCCTTTAATCGCAGGTTTGTACATTTGAGTAGAAATAAATTAGCAGCTTTCATTCAGTCCAGAGCAGCAGAGTTCCAGCTCTTCCTCCTCCTCATCCTCTCTGCGCTGTTTTTGGCGCAGCTGCGGCGGATTGTTGGATTAAAAACTGCGGCTCTTTCTGCAGGATGGAGTTTGAGTCTCCAGCTGGTTCGGTTCTGATCCATTTCAGACAGAATCACGAAATCAAGAGTAAATATTTAAAAGTGAGTCAAAGGAAATAATCAGAGTTTATTTTCAGAGCTCTAGGGCCGGGCCTGCTCCATCTGCTGGTGCTGACTCCTGATGGCGAAGCGGCTCACGTGCACCGGGATCGGAACCACGATCTTGGGGTTCCGGCTCGGCTCCCCGGACTTGTTGTTGACGTTTCCGGCCTTGACCCGTTTCCACTTGGCGCGCCGGTTCTGGAACCAGATCTTCACCTGCACCTCGCTCAGCTTGAGCGCGTGCGCGATCTGGGAGCGCTCGGTGAGGGACAGGTACTTCTTGCAGTGGAACTCCTTCTCCAGCTCCAGCAGCTGCTCGCTGGTGAACGCGGTGCGCCGCCGCCGGTTCTTGCCGCCGCTGCCGCCGCCCGCCGCGCCGCCGCCGGAGGAGGAGCCGTGGAGGTGCGGGCCGTCCTCCAGGCCTCCGCCGCCGTCTCCGTCCTCTTTGTGGCACATGGAGGTGAGGTTGTCGTCGGAGCTGTAGTCCAGGTCGCTGTCCATGGAGAAGCTCTCCTCCTTCCGCTCCTCCTCCTTGGAGTCTTCTTTACTGAGAACTCTGGCTGCGGGGAGCAGAGGAGGAAACACTCCGATCACTTTCACATCATCACAATTATTAGTTTACAAATTAAACTGGCAGAAAAAAAGATTCCTCCTGAAATAAAGCGGAATATTAAAATACTTTATTTAAAATCAGATTAAATTGTTAATTAAAAGCGATTAAAGTCTAACTTTAGAGTCAGAATCATTTTGGACATTTAGGGATGATAAACGGGGTGAGGAAGAGGAGGGTGTCAGTATCCTTCATCAGCAGGGATCAGATTCAGGGCGCGCTCTGCGGGGATGTTCCGCTTTCACGCGTAATTACGCACCGACTAGATCTCCACGCGGCCTTCTCTCCCCGCGCGCGCGTCTAGCTGTGTGTGTGCGCGCGCACGGTGATGTCAGAGGTGATGACAAATAAAAAACAAATATGTCACGAGCCAATAAACCTGAAGCACGCGCCGCTTTCAGGCGTTTCCTGCAGAGTTTATTAAATGTCATAAATAAACTAAAAATGATGAAAATAAACTTTTTAGATCAAATAAATTTAAATAAACTAAATCAGATTATTTTTCTATTTGATCAGATGAATCTGAGGCCGCAGAGAAATAATTCCTGAATCTGATATGAAATAATTATAAAAACAACCTTATTTAATCAACAGTTAATATTGTTAAATGATTAAATTAAAATGAACATTTATTTTGTATTATTTATTAAAGTTAAATGTCGACATTATTTTAAATTTGTTTTTGGCAACTTTTTTGTTTAGAAATATTTTCATAATTATAAAAAACATAAAATAAATAATCTGATCTGCTTTTTTGTTTAAATGTAGGTTTAATTAAATGTTTTAACCATTTATAGACATTTATAGACCTCCTACCTGTGGAGGTCTGCAGCGGCGTGTCTGCGTCGTGGAAAGCCGGCAGCGCGGACTCTTTGGCCGGCAGGAAACTCTTCCCATCCTCCGCCTCCAGCCGCAGCTCCTGAGTTTTCTCGAAGGCGGCGTGCAGGGCCTGGGAGCCGAACTTCCTGGCGGCCTCCTGGTGCTGCTGGGACGGGGAGAAGCCGCCGGGCAGCGAGGCCAAGAGGGTGGAGGTGAGCGCCATGCCCTGCGTCATTCCCTGCGCCAGGCTGGAGCAGAAGCCGCTCTGCAGGCTCTGCATCTGCGGGTGGTGCGCGCTGGGCAGAGCCTGCTGCAGGGCGGGAGGCGGAGGAGGCGGCGGCTGCAGCACCACGGACCGGTAGGGCATGAACATCGGGTACCCGGTGTAGACGAAGTGTCCCGGGCTGGGCTGCGGGGGCCCCCCGATCAGGGAGTCGATGCTGAAGGCGGTGGTGCTTCCGAGTGGCCGCTGCATCACCATGAAGGACGGGCTGAACGCTGCGCTCATATGACCGACCGCTGGAGCTGCAGGAGGCCGAGGAGGAGGCGCTGTGGGACGGAGCCCCGCTGAGGCGGCGGGAGTCACCGGGAGCTGAAGGAGGAGATAATCCGCTCAGAGACAAACATTCCTCCCTAAAGTCCAGCAGCAGGAGATCAGATGCTTCCAGAAAACAAAGCTGACCGATCCGCGCGCGCCGCGCCGTGACGCACAGTGCGCACTTTGGAGAGAAGCAGCTCAAGTTAGTCTAGACCCGGACCTGAGGACTCAGTCAGCGGACTGCGGTTCTCTGAGAGCCGCTCTGCGCGCGGCGGTGCGTCTCTCCTCAGCGAGACTCTTTAGGATTTAAATTGCCCTCCCCTCCGTTTAATTGCGCTGCCTCGCGCGGCGGGAGGCCGCCTCCCCCCGCCTCTGATTGGTGGATGTCAGGTGACGATCCTGGAATCCACGCAGAGTGGAAATGAGGGTTTTATTCCGCGTGGATCAGATTGTTCTAAAGTCCTGGATCTCTGGCATCAGAGATGATCAGGATGGACCGAACCAAACACCTGGATGGGGGGGGGGGGTCCGAAACAGGAAGTCTGACGACATCCCATCTTCAAAAATGGTCCAACTTCATGAGTTTGGATCAAAGACTCCAGAAAAGTTAAAGAATCTTTTTAGTTTTAGACTAAATTCCAGGTAAAGTTCGGGTTCTGCATCAGGATGGAAGCAGCAAATCTAGAACATCTCACTCTATAATGGACATAAAACAGGAATGTTTACATTCTGCAGTTTGATAAGAAAGTATTTTAGTATATAAAGGAATGTTGATGTTCTGCTCTTCTGTGTTTTTCAGGAGGAGCAGCAGAAGTAAGGAAAGCAGAAGATCAGAGGTGAGAAAATGTTTCAGGTTTGAACCAAAACTTTCCAGGCGGTTAATGAACATTTCCATTCCTTAAACTGCAGCAGTCATCAAATGTAAACGGTGTAGAAGATAAAAAAAAACAATCTTAAAAGGTGCAAATATGTCCAATCTTTCTCCTAATCTTAATCTGGATTGAATCTAAAGGATCCGAATCGACCCTGGAAACCATAAAAGTTTGTTAGAAATGAATCCAAGCTGCAGAAACTACCTGCTGGAGTTTATGACGAATTAAAAGATGAATTAATTGATTAATCTGATGGGATTAAAGATAAACGTTTAATCATTTGATGCTAAATGAACCCAAAGATTAATGAAATTATCAAACACAACAGAGGGTGTTATTGATGAATGAGAGAGGAAATAAATATTAGATTAATGATGCAAAGATGTGGGATTAGGAAGCAGATTTGGTCGCATTCAGTAATCTGCGTCACGTTTTTGATTCTTCGTCATATTTTGGTGCAGAAAACCTAAAAATCAGCTTCTTTTCTCTGTCAGACATGTTGCCTTAAACTAACCTTCAAATATAATCAATCATGAAGCTAAAATATGTCCAAATGTTTCTCCTAATCTTAATCTGGATGGAAGGTAAAGGAAGCAGAACTGCTAATCTCAGCATAGCAGAGGATTCTGTTTCTTACAGTCGGATTAAAGGTTCCATTTTTTAATTTTCTGGTGGAGTTTATGAAATATTGTTTAAGTCTGTGGTTAAGAGTCGATGTTTCACCAGGTGAGAAGTTCAGGAAGCGTTTATGCTGATGATGTCATGACTTCCTGCTTAAATTCATATTTAATCCCCTTTGATGCTGAAAGCAGTCGATCAGAGGCGGATTGGCTTTCCTGCTCCTCCTGATGACGGGCGATTATCCCGCCATCCGTCTCCCGCCTGACGCCGCTCTAAATCACAATGTTTGCTCCGGCGTTCGGCATCAAACTGCATCCTGATGAATCCTGGAAACGACCTCCTCATCCATTCATGGAGAAGCTCATGAATGCCGGCCGCGGCGAACGCATCACATGTGACCTCTGACCCCTGAAGCCCCCTTCTCTCCTGGGCTGAGTCAAGGACATGCATGAACACCTCCTCCTCCTCCTCCTCAGGGTCACCGGGACAGGATCTCATTAAAGCCGCCTGATCTGCAGCTGCAATGCAGACATTAAATAGCAGTATTTTTCAATTAAGGCGACAAATTCAATCAAACTTCCATAGATGAGATGAAACGAGCCGCGCTCGTTTACAAGCCTTTAATTGCGCCGCCATTAGACAAATAGTGCAGCGCTCTCTGAGTCGTTATCAATCATGCGGGGGCATCAATAGTAAAAGGTTGGAAGGCAGCGGCTGTGTGCGGGGCGGGGGGGGCCGTGCATGAGGAGCGTGCGCGTGGCCGCGCTGCCACCAGCAGCTAATAAATACCCTCTTTTGTACTTATAAATTATCCAGTTTAATTAACAACATGGATTATGATTGGACTGTGATTTAATTAAAGCTTTCCTGCGCGCGGGGCGAGCGCCGCCGCCATCCATTATGATGGGGGGGGGGAATGATCAGGCTGTAAAACCATCAGCGCCGCTAGAACAGAACCGGACCCACCGGAGCCTCCAGTGGGACCGGTTCTAACCAGATCTTAAACTGAATAATGAGTCAGAATGTTCAGGTCTGGACTTTGACTAGACCGTTCTACCATAGATCAGCTCTTAATGGTCAGACTGGTTCTAATGGGGGAGGTGGGCGCTGATTCAGCTGCAGTCAGCTTCCCGCAGCATGATGCTGCCACCGCCATGTTTCATCACAGGGGGTGCTGGCAGTGTGACTCAGAGCTCCTCCTCCTTCATGGTTTTTGCTCCACCAGCTGCATCTGCATCACCACCCGGTGGCTCCGCAGCGCCACCGTCAGCGTATGGCTGAATGTAAAGGACTGATGTCCTGCCTGTGAGTGTCTGACCATTTCCTTACTGAGGAGGTTTGACCAACATGTGGGCGGAGCCATTTCTCTCCTCCAGCTGCTCCATCATCTCCATGTTCAGATGATCAGAGCTTAAAGCTTTGATCTCCATTTTTCTATTTTAGTGATTTTAATTCTTTAATGTTTGTTTAGTCTTATTTTTGCAGAGGATCTCAGAACCTTAAAGTCCAGAACATGTTGAGTCAGACTTGCATTGATTGACTGATCTGGTCTCTGATTGGTCGTTAGCAGACTTCTGACTTTTATTTTGGGGTATCGGGGGGGAGGTTTCAGTTCCTGGTTGCGATGCGACTCTGGAAGGTTTCCATCTTCAGCAGCTTCCTCAGGTTTTCCCGCTGCAGCAGGTTATTTGTTTAAACGTTGGCGGCGGTGATGATCCTCGGGTCTAGGCCATGTTTCAGAGACCTTCTGAAGCTCCGCCTCCACGCTCGGGTTCAGAGCAGCCATTGAATTTTTGATTAGCGGAGCTGAAAGGGGCTCCATTGATCCGGCAGCGAGGTCGACCCTCCGCTCCGCTGAGCAGGGAGGCCTGATGAGGATTGAATTATTCTAAGTGTCTAGTGGCAGCGAGCGCCCCCCCCGATCGATCACATGGTGCAGAGAAGCTCAGGCTGACCAGGTTCTGACGGGTTCTGGGTTGGATCGATCCAAAGATGGAGAAAAACTCCTTGGCAGATTCCTGCAGCAGATTTCTCTGCTGAACACGAAGCTCTTGGATCTTCTTTCCTTCGCTGATGAGAAGCTAAACGCTAAAAGATCAGAACATCTTCTCTGATTCTGGAGATCAGACTCAGGTCGGATTAAAGACCAGAAGCTCGTTAAGATAGTTAGAAGCTGATTCCTGTCGTCAGGGAGGGATTTATCTTTCACGTCTCAAATCTAGAGACTTTTTTCTGCTACTGGAGACTTTGGAGACAACATCTAAAAGCAGCGAACTCTGCTCTCCAGAGCGAGTAGATTGGTAACCCCGCCTCCTGCTCTCCTCTATCTTGTCTGCTGTCATGATTCATGCAGCTATTATTTCATCCAAATGAAAAATGGAGAACAGATAAGCAGATCATGGCTTGTCTACAGTGAAAAGAAGGACTGGGTTATTTACTTTGGCCTTTTTGGAAACACAGGAAGGAGCAATCAGCTAAGTGAGCTTAGTGCTTGGAAAAAATCTTTCATTCCTTTAGAGACAGCATGAAAAGTCAGCTGAGTACAAAACATAGAGAGGAAAACAAGAAGAAAAGGGACAAGAAGAGAGGGACACAACCTAGAACAGATAATGGATGTCTATTCTCAATCAGAGGGCCCCTGCCTGTCTTTGCCTAGGGCCCCATATTTCCTAAATCCGGCCCTGCCTCAGTAAACAGCAGCAGGAAGTCGGTGTGACTCCGTCTACAGCTCTACTGTCCCCCATCAGTTAATCAGGATGTTTTTCTAGCAGAGGAGCAGCTGCGTCGCCCCCTGCAGGGCGCCGCAGGGAGAACCTTCATCGATGGATCCAGACCTCCCAGAGGAGTCGGTTCTGGTTCTAAAGACGGGGAACTTCAGCTGATCTGGAAGCAGTTCTGGCTCTGAGGATCTGGACTCGTGCTAAACGGGCAGATCGTCTCCCAGCAGCGGCTAACTGGCCTCATTCCGCCTCGTTGGCGCCGTCGAGCTGCTCGACTCGCAGAGATGATGAATAAAAAGGAATAAAATGGGTTTGAGTTCATTTCTCCTCAAGCTGGAGCTGATTTTTAACGTTTAACCGTAGATTAATCCCACATTTCTACCAGGAGGGACTGAAAGCAGCAGAGCAGGTGTTCCTGCAGCCCTCCCCCTCTGCAGCCATGTGACCTTTGACCCCAGCCTGTGAAAGCATGCAGGTAGGTATGAGCTGCAGTGAGGAGGAACCAGAGCTAATCAGATCAGCTGAGGAGTCATTAAATGAGGAGGAGCGTCAGCGTCGCCTCCTATCTGCAGCCCGATTGGCTGGGAGCGCCGCGCCGCTTCGCCCCATCATCAATGGAGGCCTTGTCTGCAGACGGCGTTCTCACAGGAAACGGCTCCTGAGGCTTTAACCTCGTTAGCACCTGCGTGCTTCGAGGAGGAGGAGGAGGAGGAGCTTTATTTCTCACCTGATGCTCCTTATTCTGCTGCAACAGGAGATCTGCTGAGAGCAGAACCTTCCAGAAGAAGGTCCACCGTCCTCTGACTGCGTTGGATCTAAAGTTCTCTCAGGTTTAACAGATTTCTGACTTTTTTTGACATTTCCTCCATATGAAGAAGTTAAACTGAAATAAAATCAGTTAACTTTTATTTATTTTTTCTGTGGTCCTAATCGACTGTTCATGTCTAGATCTGAGCAGAGATCCTTTCTGGTTTCGTTATTCTGTGCAGAGGAACCGGGTCCAGAACCTGGGGGCCTCCAGGCCGGACCAGCAGGAGGTCAAGGCTCTCCAGGAGGACCTGCTTCCATCTCCAGACCAACATGGCGTCCAGATGTGGGTCTGATTACGTTAGCTTCCATTAGCGTTTCAGGTCCTGATTCACCTTTGACCTTTGGGTCCAGAGGAAAAAAAGATGGCTGAT